TAACTCTTCCTAGAAGCAACTTCCGCACGAACCAAGCTAGGATATATCATACCTAGCTATGCCCTATCGAACCATGAAACCCCCAGTCGAAAAGCTTTTTAGCACCTCGGGTGGTTCCCTCGTTAGTGATGAGCTAGTACTGTGTTGAAAAAGCGGAATAGCATAATTGTGAACTAGTAGTGATATAGCCGAATGGCGGATCAGTGAGGTGGTAGTATAGTGAAAGAGCGGATTGGGGATAGTGAACTAGTGGTGTGTTGAAGTAGTGGAATAGCGCAATATGGAATAGTGAATCAGTAGTATATTTAAATGGCGGAATACCGGAACAGTTAGCTGGTTGTCTGTTGCAGTAGAGGAATGGCGGATTAGTGAAGTAATTGTATATTGAAAGAGGGGATTGGGGGAATAGTGAACTAGTATTGTGTTGAATTAGCGGAATATTAGAATAGGGGAACAGTGAGCTAGTAGTGTATTGAAATACTCGAGTAGCGGGATAGTTAACTAGTGCCATACTGGAATAGGTGAATAGCACAATAGTGAACTGGTACTATATGTGTATTGAAATAGCGGATTGGGAATAGTGAACTAGTCGTGTATTTAAGTAGTGAATAGCGGAAAAGGTGATAGTGAACTAGTACTGTATTGAAATAGCGTAGTAGCCGGATAGTGGACCAGTACTATATTGGAGTAGGGTATAGCGGAATAGTGAACTGGTTCTGTATTTAATGCATGAAAAGAAAGGACACTTTGTCAACAAGGAATACGTCTGTCGACATGTTCCTGACAACATGAGAAAAAAGTTAGGCATTGGCTTAGTTTTTTGTTGTGGGTTAAAATCTTAAAACTGCTGTAGCCACGATATGGCTATACAAGGCTGTAGAACGAAAACTTTATTCATCTAATCGTATAAGTGCATTAATTGAAAGCTATGAAACGGGGTATTTTGTATAACATAGTGTACAGTTTAACGATTTTTGATGCACTCTGCAATGTCATGAAGTATAATGTTGATGCGAAAGATTTTGATTGGTGTAAAGGCATAATAAATTAACTTATGAGAAGATTCTTTCTCCTGATGTTGACGTCGCGGGTACTGTAAAATATTTGAGAGCTAATGTAGCTAAACTTGGAAACAACCGCTGTTTAACTAATATAAGATTACTGTCCATTGCTTCTTCTTTTAGAAAACTTTCTAACTCCTCCAAAATACTCGAAGTTGTACCTAAGATTCTTTTTGACGGTTTCGCTAAATATGGAAACAGTTTTGAAATTTTCCGTTTGCCGTTGACTGGAGAATTAATATTAGCCAACTCTTGTCCTACGGTCTCTATTTCTCCTTCACTATCTTTCGGTAAAACTTGACTATCCGCCAAGTTAATGAGTGTTCGTATTTTTTCTATCACAGTGTCTTTAATATCATCTGTTAAACCAATAGTACTTAGCCAATGCATTTTAAAACGAGCATCTAATGTAGGCGTAATAAGAAATATCGGATCGGAAAATCGTTCCGACATTGAGTGTTGATTGTTTGGAACATCAATATGAAAGTGTCTTAATAATCCACTAAATCTTGCTTTTATTGATGTTAACAAACTTTCTCTCAACTTGCCCAAATAAACACATTTTTGAATATCTAAAAAATGAAAAATTGATAAAATGCTTGGGGCAACACAGCTAATGGTGGAATGAGTTTCTCCTTGTGCATGAGTAGTTGCTTCTTCAAACAGTTCTAATAACTGAATAAATTCACTTAGTACTCGTCTATCGGCTGAAGTCAAAATCATTTCACTTTTGTTCAAATCCTAAAAGATTGAAATATAATATACAAAGTAATTAAAATTGAAGAGATGGTACTCAATATCAAATGGGATAGTGTCACCAATGAATACTCACATTCAAGATGATATTTAGTTCCGATTGTGATACATTATAAACAGCTTTGATCGTATAAAATTGAGAAATCCATCTGGCAACTGTTGCTATTGGTATTGATTGTTTGGTAAGTTCCAACCGCTCAGCAAATACACAACTTGTACGACTAAATTTGGCAATAGCAGCTACCTTTTTTAATGCATTGAAGGCTGGTTTGGAATTATAAATACCATCATGTATCACCAACTGAAGCGTATGTGCGAAGCATGGGATGCGCAAATATCCATTAACTGTAATATTACCAAAAAGAGCAAAATCTTGATCGGGAAGATTAACTACAAGGCTATCTTTGCTAATGAATCCAGATTTTTCCCATTCAATATCAATATCCTTCTCGTCTCCACTATTCATCTCTATTTCCTCGCCTTCTTCATCGTTCCAGTCTTGATTGTCTGTTGTTGTAGCTGCTGCTGTCGTTAATGATAATTGATAGTCATTGTCAGTCCCATCAAGACCACCAGTATTATTAAAATAATCATCGAAACCGGGTAATATTAGGTTATCAAATGCAGCCATATTATTACTCGCATTATCCGTCACGATTCTCACCAGTTTATTCTCTAATTCATAAAATTTTACAACTTTATGAAATTCGCTCAAAATATTGATTGCAATGTGTCCTCCCTTTGATCGTTCAAAGGATAACGGATATGAATGCAATTCATTTTGAATAATGGTATGCATCGTGATTCCTAAGTAACTGTGCAGTCGATGATCAGACCATAGATTCAGTGTTAAACTAACAGATTTTGCATTGGTACACAATTGTTTTAAGCTTTTTATGACTTTTCCACTCATTCCTAGCAAGAAATAGAAAAATACATGGTTTAAAATACACCTTTTTTAAATGAGTCGTCAACTTCTACGGTAGATGAAGTAAGCTCTCGTACAATGACAGGAGAGCATACTGTAAGCTTAATTTCTTTTACAAGAAAGATGTTAGAAAAAAATCATTTTTTACTGTCTATATTTCCACTTAATTCGTAATGTGACTGAATTGACCATTCCATTAAAAAACCACGTAGTGAGAAAAATGCACATTGTACACGGAGCATTTTTTGTTGCGACGGTTTTCTCTAGACATTTGCGGCATCGCTTATATCTCCACGAGAAACCAAATCGGAAAACCGTAGATGTCTCATTGTGAAAAGAACACTTTCTTCTATTAGACTGTATATAAGAAAAAATGTTGAATGTATTAAAAAGGAGAGAAAATTTTATAAAACTAAAATAGTTGATTGGTTCACGCTTTGAAGCAAAAAACTCAAAAGATTCATAATTCTTTTAAGGGCGGTCCCGGGATACTGGAAACGATCTCATTTTGTAGTCCAGACTTTCTACCTTAGGGTATATTCAGCTAAAAATCGAAAAATTTTTACAGAAAAGTGGGGATGTCTTTAAGATTTATCGAGCAATCATCAGGTTACTATAATTAATAGCTGTTCTATTACTCTGATGTGCGAGACTCGGTCCCCTGTATTAGTTATGCGTTACTTTTTTTGATATCTAGAGCTGGTTCTGTAGTCTAAACAATAAACATGTTCATTTACCTACTGATCATTTAACGTTTCGAATTCAGTCGCATATCCTTAAAATTTGAAGTATATTCACCCTTGAATACACTTCGTCATTAAACCAAAGATCTTGGATTTTAAATTTGAAAAACTGCAGCGTACTCCGTAGAGACTTTTTAGTTCATAGATCCATGTTTTTACCAAAATATGAACAATAATAATACTAACACCAGGACGAGTATCGTATGCGAAACTCAAATAAATGTTTTATAGCACCTTGTTTCTAGTTGAAAGATGTATTCTGGGAAAAGCGATCAACGCTCATTTTCCATTAATGTCTATTCCGTTTGTTATGGTTAATAGAAACATATTTGTCATAACTAACTTCTTTAAATACAAGACCATTTGGTGGACTATCTTGTCTGACAAGCCAAAAGACAGAGAGATAGTCTTCTAACCTACTGCATGAAAGTCTTGATACAAAATATTCATTCGTTTTTCAGTTACTCAACAGCAACTGTTGAGAGTCAAAAGCAGTTAGTTAGAATCAAAATTTTGTGTTCTTTTCGAATACGTGCTCAGAAGTTTTATGTCCATTTTTGTTCGAGAGTAACGAGGGAATCTTTAAAAGGCTAAAAAATTATTTTGGACGGCGAACAAACAGGTTTTTGCTAAATCCACATAAGTCCCTTTAAAAAGGTGCCAAAAGATTCGAAGCCGATGGTTTTGTAGAGTGAACACTTCTTTACAAAATGTGATATTGCACTAACGATAAGCGATAGCTTCAAGCTGATCCTCTAATCATGAATGACCTTGTATCCTAAGAGAACGCTTACTTAATCTCAAGTAATTGTTAACATATATTTCGTCACCGTTGGTTTTTCCCCCATTCTCTAATTTTTCTATTTCACTTAGTTTCACTGGTCGATTTTCTTTTAATGACTTTATTGACGCTACTCCAATCAATACCGCCATTAAGCCATCGTATGCATTGACCAGCACAGGTTTATTACTAAGAATTGCATTAATAAAATGTTTGATTTCTTCTGCATAAGACCTTGTGTACCGCTCAAGAAAAAAGTTAAGTGGCTTTTCTGTATGAATACCTTGATTATCGGAAATAACAAGAGAGGTCTTTGTATCATTTGCAATAGATGCTTGCCCTTTTGATCCAAATACTTCTACCCGTTGATCATAACCATAAACAGCTTGCCTAGAGTTATCAATTACAACTAAAGTACCATCAGACATCTTCATTGTTATAATAGCTGTATCAACATCATCTAGTTCAGCAATTGTTGGTTCAATCAATGTATTCCCAACCGCAAAAACTTCCATAACTTCAGCATCCAATAAATACCGTGTCATATCAAAATCGTGTATTGTCATATCAACGAAAAGGCCACCACATATTTTTGAATAGTTTAACGTCGGTGGATATGGATCACGCGAGGTTATACGCAAAATATGTGGCTGACCAATTTTATGTGATTGAATCGCTTGTTTAATTGCTTTAAAATTATGATCAAAGCGACGATTAAATCCCACTTGAAATTTAACATTATATTTTTCCAATTCACAAATAACATTATAAATTTTTATTATATTTTTATCAATCGGTTTTTCACAAAAAATATGCTTGCCAGCATGAATGCAATCAATTGCTATTTCACAATGGGTGTCAGTCGGTGAACAAATTAAGACAGCGTGAATCTCATTATCCGTTAATATATCTTTATAACATTTTGTCCAATTCTGAATACCAAGTCTCGTTGCCCAAATTATTTGCTCGTCATTTAAATATGGATCTGCAATAGTTTTTATTCGTGCATTTCTTATATAACGGCTAATATTTTCTCCGTGAACGCGTCCAATTCTGCCAACGCCAATAATACCAATGTTTATCATTTTTATCTCTAGACTCTCGGATATTATTTGCTGCCTTAACAAAGTATTTTTAACAAGGTCAATGTGCTTTTCCAACCTACTTCAGGTAAAACTAAGATTTTTACAGCAGCTTTATATAAAATCATTAGAATATTTATTTATTCCAGCGTTTCGAAAATTTATACTTTCATTTTCAAAGAAAATGCGTGGACAAAAGTGAAAAAGATACAAAAGAAAATCAGCTTTAGTCAAATATGAATCCGAAACTGGATATAAGATTGATTGGATGAATTTCAAAATACTATGGAGTGATAAAAATCCATATGGATTGCTCGTAAAAGAATTATTAGTAATCAAAGCTTATGAACCTTCTCTAAATGCGACAATACATTCAGTGGCAATGATTGTATATCCGGAAGGATTGCCGAGATGTCTGGTACCGGATCCTAATGGGGATCCTAAGTCATATAACTTTTATGTAGTAAATACATATATATGTAACACGGCATTCATTTTCAGTCATATTGAGTATTTTCTTATACGAAATGAACAGAAGATGAATTTTCTTTTTCTTCTTTTTCGAACCCGAAAGAAACAGAAAACCATGCCGTATTTCTCCTTGCTTCTTCTTCTTTCCATTTCATTCTTTATTTCATGTATTTATATATATATAGAAATGAAAAATCATTTTATTGTGTGTTCATCATATTCTATTGTACACTCCTTGAAAATGAAAATATAAATTTTCGAAACGTCGGAATAAATAAATATTCTAATGGCTTTATGCTGTTAAAATCTTAATTTTACTTCGTTCATTACCCATCAATAACTCAAACGTCGACCTACTTGATTTTGCTTGGTGAACCATAACCTGCACACTACTTTTTTACTCTATCCTTTAAAAATTTGAAAGGTGTGTATTCACCTTGCAATCGATTCAAGGAGACAATATTTAGAATAGTTTTTATGATTCTAAAGCATAATATTTCAATTTTTAATCTATTTTTCTTTGTATTTAAGGACAAGTCCGTCAAAAAGATCCACCGTAACCGACGCTTGACGGTTATATTATATACCTATATGCAGCAGTTTCAAGAACTTAATCAAGCAAAAATGACCGTAGAGATGAACTAAAACATAGTCAAAACTAACTTGGTTTCCGGTTAATAAAAAGGTAGCATGTCTTCTTTCGTCTTTCTATAACTCGTCATAGCTAGCATATTAGCGTCAAAAATGGAATACCCATGGGAACATTTATTTACTAAACTACTTTTCCAGTTAGTCTTAGGACATAGAAAACAATGTCTTTAGCGATTTTCAACTCTTCGCTTTCCCATGTGTACTACTCCTAGATGAGAGAGATAGAATGATAAAAAATTCAGACTTTTTCAACAAAAATCAGCCATTGTAACTAACAGACTTCCTATTCTATGCACTAGTTAGCAAGAATTTTACATAACAGTTATAATAACAGTAGAGGAAAGGGCTTACATCAACTTTTCTCTCTCGAAGAATATCAAATTATCGAACTGTTTCCAAATTACTAAGATCTCGAATAGCTGGACAGTTATATACGTTTAGTACTCGGACAGAAAAATTTAACAATACCTTTTCCCCGTGGGTGGTAAGACAGTGGAATGAGCTACCTATTCATTTTCGTCAAATTGATAAGCTGGCCTTTTTTTGCGTAAAGCTGCATGACTATTTTTACCCGTACTACAGATGGCCTAGATTCACAAATGTTCAGCTAAAATATGAGTGTATTTCAATCAAATGTGAGTTAGTTCTTCTAGATTAAACTGTGATTTATTTAGCAAAAAATTAGTTAATACTCAGTTATGTGCATGTGGTGAATCTGAAACAGTCCAGCTGTTCCTCTTAGAATATTCACACTATAGTCATCTTCGTTCAAAAGTAAAGAATGACTGATGTAATATCGCACCTGAGTTACCTTTCTAAACAATCTTCTCTATTTGAAAATCTAGACAATGCAAAACTGTCCATATTATATCGACTTCTTGCTGAATACATAAAACACATGTTTCTAATTTCAGCTGTACTATTTGTCACTCTCACACGTCCTATTATTTCTACTCATACATTACATATTTTCGACTTGTTCTTTGTTTCTTTTTTTTAATTGTTCTTTTCTTTTATGTTTTTTTCCTCCGTTCTTTTTTCTGTATTTTTCACTCTTCTTCTCTACTATCACTCTACTGTTTTTCAGTATACACATATGTAATATCAAAGCAGTCAGAGATGGTATCATGAGCTTCTGCCTCTTTCGTTTTTATTCAGTATTTTGTCACCAACCGCAATAAATACAGCTTAAACTAACTCCATCCAGCGTGATAAGAGAATGGAGACAGTAAGAGGATACAAGGTTTCTCAGAATTCTGTGATTTCTTCCCTATAAACTTCAATAATTATTAAAAGACCCCACAAAATTAGAATTAATTGAATAAAACCTTAAAAAAATAAAACTTTTAAATATATAATAATTTTTACTAACTACTAATATCTGATCGGCTACTAGAAAATTTATCATATAGATAGGTTTTTATTTTAATGAGAATAGGGACTTTGTTGATATACGAAGTCGGTATGTATGTGTACTGACATGTACGTGGGTGGAACATGCATGTTTAAACGGAGGACAGATGAACATATTAGAAAAGTGAAACAAAGAGATATAAAGGGCTTAGAATTGGCGCAGCATCAGGAAAATGGTAATGCATGTTTTACAGAATTTGGAAACAGCATGATTTTTGACAAAGAAAAGAACTGGGATAGAAGAAAAGCATTGGAGACAGTGTACACCATAGCAAATTTAGGTTATAATCGATGCAAACAAAGTAGTCCACAATGGAAATCCACCATTAAACAGTGGATTAAACCGAGATGGGGAGAACCGTTTTATCCAGTAAATATAAATAAGGACATTAGTAATTCTACTACAGAAACCACACAACGAAACCAAAATGCTAGATATGAATTTAGGAAACAGAATAGAAAAAACTATAAGGAGGATTTTCGTTGAACCTCGAGAGATTCTCTAGATATAAGCTTAGTTTATCAATATATTCTTCATCAATCCTTCCGTTCATATAACAAAGGTCATCTTAGACGTGATATATTTACGTCGCATATATTGTATTTTATTTTAATCTAGGTCCACTAAAATAAAATAAAACACAGTCGAATTTTCTTCAACTCTTTCGTCGTTCTAGTTTGGTCGAGTGAGAGAGAAATAGAAAAAGAAAACATTAAAGTAGAGGTATAAATATACATTGCAAAAATGAGAATGATCACATTACAGTTTTAACATCTACTGTACACACTACATTTTAAACGAGAATTGCTTTTGTATATACACACTTTGTTGTATTAATTTTATACGAATTTTTGTTTTAATTTGTTCTATGTTATACTGAAGAAGATTGCACGTTGTAATCGAAACGTCTAACTTTTGATTGTAAATAATAAATTTTACGAAGACAAAGTATATATTATAAGAAAAAACGATAAATATAAAATATAAATAGGTCATAAAAGCTTAAAAACTTGAATGGTTAATAATAATAGCAACATAAACATAATAAAATAAACTAAATACTTAAAAGAAAAAATCTCATTATTTATAATGTGATAATTAATAAAAAAATCATAACCAACATCCTTAATAATAAACTTAAAAAATAATTATTCAGATTAAGATAAGAATACTCGGCACAAGGATATAAATTAAGTAATTTTAAAGAATAATACACACTAGCCCCTAATACCGTCGATAAAAACACAGATTCCCAAATTGTAACACTATTCTTTAACACATTTTCAATAATAAAATCATTAGAAAAAAATCCAACTAAAAATGGTAAACCTGAAAGACTAAGACAAGGAAAATAATAAAGAACTCTGTATTATGAATAAATCCATGTCGAAGTTTCACAAAATGGTTTTTTTATACCTTTTGAATTCACGTGAGTTCGTACGATTTTTGAAAAAAATGTTCTTTTTAAGATTAATATTGATTCCTTCAATAACTGAAAATGAACAAGTTGGTCCATTAAAAAATTGCATCCTTCAAGATGACATCACCTAAAAACTTTTCATAACTACTTAACCCTAACACCAGCTCAGCTGCTGACCGCCATGTTTTCTATAAATATGTATCTGTTTTAAAAATGTGTAGACTTGATGACTGCCGAGTTGATACCGACAAATCCAGCTGTGCCAATTGCACTTACAATGCGCAATCAGCACTTTGAACAAAATTGTATACATCTGCACCTGATAAACTAGGTGAAGACAAACAGAATACACCAGTTATAAGTCAGGAGCTACAAACGGTGGAAGAATTTAGTGATTAAAGGAAAGATCAAACCGGTGCAAGGAAATTCTTGCAGAGAGATGAGAGATCACTTAACTACTATTAATAACAAAAGCAGCAGTCAGCCATGCGATCTCAGATAGATTATACTCATACCAATCAACATTAGGTGATCAATAAAATCTTTCAAAATATTGAATATAAGAATGTTTTTAGGTAATTGAAGTGCTGAATGTGATGATTTTGCACTGACAAGTGCAAGGATTATAGCTAAGCTAAAAGCTAGCTTAAAAGGACACCTGATTCTAGTTCCGGCGAAGAATTTTACATATTCGTTTCTACTATTACCACATATTTATTCAAAAACAACTACTGGTATTGCTTTAAGGTAGTCTCTCTCATATTGTATGCTAATGATGATGGCCCTTACCAGTTATTCCCTCGTTGTCGTTTTAGCGGTTTTTATAATTGCAAGATTACCAACACCAGTGCATCCAGCATCAATATCCAGTGCAGAACAAAAATGTTTCGAAGATATTAGCGGTATTTGTCTTCAAAAATACAAAAGTCTGAATGAAACCTATGGGTTAGAATTCTTTTTTCCTCTTAGAGGGATAGTTGAATTGGATTCTGATTAAAAGCAGAATAAAACGCAATTTAGAAGGCATCCATGAAAGACCACAGATAG